CACAAAGAGGTCGCCGGTTCAATTCCTGGTCAGAACACATGCCCAGGTTGTGGGCCTGATCCCAGTGGGGGGTATGCAGAAGGAGGCCAGTCAATATTCTCTCTCATCGATGTTTCTATCTCTCTCTCCCTCTCCCTTCCTCTCTCTCTAAAATTAATAAAGAAAAAAAATTTTTTCAAAAAAAGAAATCTATAAATCCATAAAACAGAGTATTCACAGATGATAAAGATTATATATTCAGAAACATACAAAATAACTTACAGATAAATTTTTAGAATCAGAAAAGAAAAAGTAAGCTCACTGGATATAAGGTCAATATGCAAAAGCAACCATATTTCTATGTACTAGAAAAAAACTGAAAATTAATTTCTAAAAAGACACCAATTTAAAAGAGCATCAAGAAATCTCAACTAAGGAATAAATCTAGTAAAATATATATATATATATGTAAGACTGCTACATAGAAAACTGTAAAATATATTCAAATATATTTTATAACACCATATTTATAGATTGGAAGACCCAACATTGTAAAGATGTCAGTTCTCCTCCCAGTGAGCCAAAAGAATCCTGAAGAAGAACAAGGCATAAGAACCTAAACCAGCCCTGGCCGGTTTGGGTCAGCGGTTAGAGCGTCAGCCTGCGGTCCAGAGAGACCTGGGTTCAGTTCCCGCTAAGGGTGTGTACCCCGGTTGCAGTTTGTCCCCGGGCCTGGTTGATCGGTTGGCGGCCACTTGATGTGTCCCTTTCACATCGATGTTTCTCTCTCTCTCTCTCTTTCTCTCTCTCTCTCTCTCTCTCCCCCCCTCCCTCCCTCCCACTCTATCTGAACAAAAAATGGGAAAATGTCCTCGGGTGAGAATAAAAAGAAAACCTAAACCAACAGCCTGGCCAGTGTGGCTCAGTGGATTGAGCCCCCTCCCATGGACTGAGAGGTCCTGGTTCTATTCCTGGTCAGGGCACAGGCCCGGTTGCCACTCAATTCCCAGTAGGGGGCGTGCAGGAGGCAGCTGATCCATCTTTCTCACACTGATGTTTCTATCTCTCTCTCTAAAAAACCAATCAATAAAAATTTTTTAAAAAAGAACCTACACCAACAGATATTAGGAGCTATTAAAAAGTGCAATAAGTAAGACTGTGTTGTATGGACTCAGGATAGGCAAATAAGACAAAACAGAATAAAAGCCCAAAAAGAGACCCAGACACACTGAACACCTGACTATAAAATAATGGCACCACAAAGCAGCGATAAAAGGGTGGTCTCTTCAATAAACAGGGCTGGGTCAATTACATATCCATGTGGACAAAATGAAATAGGACTCCTATTTCATATCACACAAACATAATGAATCAATTCCACGTGAATCTAGACCTAGATATGAAAACAAAATAACTAAGCTTCTAGAAAATAATGTGGGAGGAATTCTTCATGTGTTTGGTATTTTTTAAAAAGATTTCCATGCCCTGGCCAGTTTGGCTCAGTGGTTGAGCGTCAGCCTGCGGACCAGAGAATCCCAGGTTCGGTTCCCGCTAGGGGCACACATAAAAAAAAAAAAAAGATTTCTTTAACAGGATAGAAAAAGTGCCAGCCATAAAGGCAGGACTGCCTACATAATTTGTGGGATCCCCTTGTTCAAAAATTAAGAACTTCAAGAAAGCAACAGCAGAGCTTTAAACCAAGGGTGGGGCCTACTGAGCCTGGGTCCCTATGTGACTACACAGCCCACGTGCCCATGAAGTCAGCCCTGCAATAAGCTAAAAGACTAATAAATTGAACTACATAAAAACTAAGAACTGTTGTTTATTAAATGTCACTTTTTTTGGTTGTTGTTAATCCTCACCCAAGGATACTTTTTTCCATTGATCTTTTAGAGAGAGCAGGACAGGAGGGAGAGAGAGAGAGGAGAGAGAGAGAGAGAGAAACATCCATATGAGAGAGACACATCGGTTGGTTGCCTCCTATATGGCCCCAGTGGATCAAACCTAACCTGCAACCCAGGTACATGCCCTTGACCAGAATCAAACCCGAGACCCTTTGGTTCGAGGGCCAACACTAACCACTGAGTCAAACTGGCCAGGGTTAAATGTCACTATTAAGAGAGTAAAAATGAAAGCCAAAAAAACACGAGTAGGTATTTGCAGCACATATATTTAATAAAAACTCATATTCAGAATATATAAACCTAAAACTCTGTATTATGTCCTATGCACGTTACAAATTTCTTATTGTTCCATTCTTTTTACAATAATATTACAGAAGTACCAATCTAATTGCTAAGAAAAAGTAGAACCCTCTTAAGTCACAATTTATGGTAGAAAGAGTGGACTTTTGAGACATCTATCTTCAAATTCCATCTCAACCACTTGTCATCTGTGCCTTTAGCAAATTAAACTTTCTGAATCTCAGTTCCTTACACAATATGCCTAAAGACACATACCTTTTAGAATTGCTATGAGAGATAAAACCAACATATTGGCAGAAAGCATGTACGTAATGAATGGTTACAGCCACTGCCATTCTTATTTATTGATTTTATTATTTATGTTAAACCAGCTATACCATGATTACCCTTAGATGAACAGTTGAATGTAAAGGGAAAATTTGCTCTTCTATAAGGCAAATATTGCTCCTGCTCTTCTTACTCCCACCTCAGTTTTAAAATAAAGGGAGTCTATCATAAGGCTTGGTGTAGGAAACCATAAAGTCTAAGCAGTTACATCAACTATGTTACAAATAAAAATAATCTAGTCATTTTTGGTTCATAATCCACACTTATGATTCTTATTTCAAAATTATTATATCCCTTTGGTTTACCAACAGGAAATAACTTATTTTAATAAATATTAAAATAGTTTTACTCCACAGCATGTTATAGAAGGTGGAAAGTCACCTATAGAAAGAAATATAAGCACTGAATCCATGTGGAAAAAACAAAGGTTATCTGGACTTTTGCATATTAAATACAAACAAGTCAACATGTATGTTGTATTTGAATGCATCCTAATCACGACTAAAATGAAAGTTCAGCATGACAGAAAAATTTCAGTTCTTCAGAACTCTAATTAAATGTATTTATTATTAGTTGACCTTGAGGAAAAAGGCAAAAAGCTCAACTACTAGAATCAGGCATTTGGTCACAAAGCATCTAACCTCTGGAGATGTAAAAGAGATTAAAAAAAAAAACATTTAGTCAAATTTCTAACACTGTCTATTCTACATCATAAAACAGTATCATATGATGAAAACAATCACTTTGATGTACTGTTATTTCTTAACTCGACAAAAAACATTCTGTTCCATGTTATAGTCTTATTACCAAAGTGAGACTTCAACTCCCAAGGAAAAGAACCATTAACCCCATATTGTCTGAAATGCAAACCCTATCTAGAATTAAAGAGACAAACCCTAAAATACATGGGAAGTGTGCATTTACCAATATACAAATTAAATTATGAGCTGTGGACACATTTTTCTAAAAAGATATAAATGCCGGTCCTTTCATCAGGCAAGTAAGTTCAAATTCTAAATGATTATCAGCCCTGGTAATTATTAGCCCATGATCCTGTTCGAGCCTGACATTCTCCTCTGTCTCCTGACACTGGCCCCATCCCCACTTATGCTTTCCACACATCCGAACTCCATGCGTTTACTACTTTGTGCTTTTAACTTCTGGTACAAGCAACAGCAATGAGTAGGTGAAAAGACAAAAATCAAAATCAGGGTATCTTAAAATAAAAGAGGAAAATAATAACACTTTAACTGGGCACTTGTGAATCAATCAAAAACTATCAAATACATATAATGCATGTCAATTTTGTAAGAAATAGTTACAGATATCTATATACATATAGATGTATATCTTATATCCTCCTTCTCTAGCTATTTCAGATAAGGGCTGACTCAGAAAACTCTATTCAAAAACAGTCTACTCAACCACAGTCCTGCTTCTTGTATGGACCATTGTCATTATGATGATCGGGCAGCACTGTATTTAATACACATAGGTTGAAACCTTCTTCAGTAAGCAGGAATAACTTGGAAATAATAAACAGTGATACAATAAAAGAGAAGGAAGAAAACAGCACTTTCTTTTAATAATAAACTTAAGAATAGAATTTAAGCCATTAATGTTAATCTGAAACTAACCAAACTCTGAAAATTGTTTTATGAAAAGAAACACATCTTATTTGGAATTCAAAAAAAAAAAAAACTCTAGGAGGTGTCACTTTATACATAAAATGTGACAGAGTAAAGGAGCATGAAAAGGCAACTTTCACATGCACCTAAGAAGCTGCAAAACACTTCATTGTTGCCTATATTTACCATACCTGAACATACTGTTCTGCCATGCTGCATGTTAATAAAGAATACAAAACAAAAATAGGGAAATGTTAGCAGAATAAAACATAAAGCTACTGCAAGGAGAATTATAAAATTAATTCACAAGCATTTATCTAGTATTTGGCATGCAATCGTGATTTAAGTATTTTTAACTCAATTAACAAACCATGTATCTTAGTTACGACTGGATTATCTACTAAATGGATTTAATTTGTTAAAATATTTTGTCCTTTTCAGATTTCAGAGCAAGTTGTAAGATCCTCTTACAAGAGTCCCCTTCTTTTAAATCAATTTTTAATTCACTGATTAAGCACAAAGAGAATAAGAAAACAAAGATATGCCTCTTAGGTTGTATCTATTTGATGCTGTTTTTAAAATAAAGATTTCAGTCATTATTTAGCATCATGTTAAAATAACCAATGTCACAGTGAGGTGCTACTGCAAATCTAGAATAAAACTAAGTGTATAACCTCAGACCCATAACATACATTTTACCTGAAAAATTAGGAAGCTGTACGAATTATTCATAGTTCTTAGTTCTGAGGGGATATGTTTCCATTTAAAGCTTTTCAACAGATTCCAAAATACAATGACCACTGACTCACTCACTACCATTCCAGTCACATAGGGCAAAAGGGCTCACCCCTGCAGCACTTACTTCTCTTCTGTGACACGGCCTGCAAGCACGCAGTCACAATATCGCAGTTCCTCTGGACTTTATGCAGAAGCCTATCTTTCTGCTTCAGCTGCCGAAGCAACTTCGCCGACTGAATGCCAATTCTGTACTTAAGCTCTCGAAGGATCGTCTTCAGTTCATTAGTGTCTATTGGAAAAGAACATTTAAAATAGAACAATAAACACCCTGAGAGGAATGCAAATGCCAACATGATACTAATCATAAGACAAATGATCTAGAATATCCACTTAAGCTGAGTAATTCTGGGTTCTCACCCAGGACTACATGTATCTATTCAGTTAAGATATTCTGCTCAAATAACTCACTCATCCATTTCCTGCCCTGTCCATGAGATTAAGACTATAACATAAATTTTACCTTTCTGTAATATATAAGCAAGACTCTTAACCTTTAGCATATTTAGCTCTGGTTAAGAATTTGCCTTTCATTGCTTAAAAACCGGCATGTACATTTTGTATCATTAATGTGTTTAGAGGCTAAGCTGCAAGAAAAGAATATTTTTGAGTCTGTCACATCAATGATGAACCTAACAGCTGATAACAAATGTTTTGAAAGTGCTCACCTTTGTAAATAATGAGTCAAAAGTAAATAACACTACCGTATTTTCCAATGCAGATAAATGTGAAAATACTGGTTTTGTTTTAAATTCCAATAGCTGGAATAGTAAGTACAATATCTCATCTCAGAAGTAATTTTTTTTAATATGTAGAAAATACATTTCCTTTAAATAAATTAATTAAAAATAATTCTACATTCATAAAGCTAATATCCTCAACAGCAGTTTTCTACAAGTGAAAAAATACTTGGGAATCAGAAATGTCAAAAACCCTTATGTGAATGACCGTTACAGTTTGGGAATTTTGTTTGTCACTCCTGATATCACCGTTAGTGGGCACAGTGTGACCTGCCAGGCAGGCAAGGGTTCCGCTCAGCTGGGATTGGGCAGGCAGGCCCTCATTAGAGGTCCTGTGTGGGGTCTGCATCTATTCATGTTGAAAACAATCTGGAGAAACTAGAGAGGATCAGAAGAGAAGAGAAGAGATGTTCAAAAGTAAGAAAAATACTTCAGCGGTCAAAGGCAGTGACCTTTTTGAGTCTGTATAAGAGAAGTGCAGGGGTTCGCTTTAGCCGCTGTCATAGCTGACCACATCATTAGGAAAATGCCACGTGACCCTGAGTGAACTTCCCTTGGACCAACCAACTCTCCATGTGATCTTAGGCACGGCAATGCTCAAAGTCTCAAATTATGCTTACAATACTAAATTATTCTGAGAAACAAATATGAATTAATATAAATAGCACTAAAATAAGAGTAAGGAATGTCTATGAAGAAGAGAACAAACACCAGTTATTTCTCTCCCCTTGAGTTCAAACACAGTGGGATGTAATGGGAAATAAGAGCTCGCTTAGGTAAATGAAATTATTTGGATTCTAAAGATGATTAAGTATGAGCTACCAGAGGAGATCAGAGGCTCTTCACTCCTAGATTCCTTCAGACAGAGCAAATATCCTCTTTGAATGTTTAAAAAATTTCCTTCTAGGGGTAGGAATATCATCATCTTCATTTAAATTATACGTTCTTCTACAAGAGAGTCATTTTCAGCGACTCTTAAGGTACCTACAGCTCTGTGGGTCTCCGAATTATACATATTGTTCAATACAGGAAAAATCTTCAGAGTTGAGTTTGGAAATCTACATCATTATTTGCTGGCATATAAGCATCCTGAAGGCAGGGACAAACTATTCTATGTCTTTGCATGCCCCACAGCATCAGCTATTGCTCCTGAAACAGTGTTACATAAATAGGAAAAATGAGACCATCAAATGACACACAGTGGACAATTTTCTCTCTAAAGAATCCCAGTATATATTATTATTTAATTATTATTATATCTAACATTTATTGAGCACTGTACACACATTAACTGATAATAATTCTCACTACAGCCCTCTAAGGTAGGTATTATTATTATCCCTACTTATAAGTTTGAGAAATGAAACAGAGAGGTTAAATAGCTTGCCTGAGTTCACACAGTTAGTGAGGAACAGTGTCAGGGTATCAACTCAAGTGTTCTGTCTCCCAAGTTTACCCCTTAATGAAGAGAGTGTAGATTTCCTGAGAAACCATTTTAGTGCCTCAAATAAATAAATAGAGGACCTACACAAGCTAAATATGTAAAAACAGATGCGATATTGATGCTACAGCAAAATCCCTAACAGAAAGGAGAATTAATACACAGGTTATCTGCAATATATGAGACTCCTACTATGTGTTTTATTAAGAGAAATGTTTTTTCCCCTAAAAAAAAAGGTAACCTAATAAACTGTGAAATTAAGCAGACAGCTGTTTCTATGACCTGATTCTTTTTTCTTAGTACTCTAATGATGTTTATTGATTAAGGGGTTGGGAGAGGGGCTATTATAATATGGTATCTTGTTCATCCTAACAGGGTTGACTGCAAGAAAAGATGAACAAGCAGCTAACCAGGCAATAAGACTGAAACTTAAGCAAAGCAGACTTTTATAGGTCTTATGAATGATTACTAGAGTAGTCACTTGTTGGAAGTCTACTTGCAAAGCTGTACTGTTACTCTCTTTCAAAATTATTTTGCCAAATTTCCTCTTCTGAAACGAATTTACTAATCCTCCAAATGTGCTCAGTAATGAAAAGTGAACAGCCTTGTAAAAACAGAAAACCAAATCATAATTCCTCAAAGTTGATTTTGTTGGATTTTGAAAGAACTATTGCCTACGGAACTCTAGGCATAAACAGACGCTCTGAGAACAGCCAAATAATCATATAAAATGAAATAGCACAACTCCAGCAGAGTCCGGGGCAGTGGGGAGGAAGGTGGAAGTCATTTGTAACAATCAGCTGGGAAAAAAATCTGCACTAGGAAGCCAAAAGCGGAAGCTGAAAGCTGTTTACATAGATTTGAGAAAGCAGACAGATTTATTCCTTTTCTGGTTAGTTTTGTTTTGTTTTCTAGCAACAGCTAGTCTGATTTTTAAATTAGAGGAGACAGGATATCATTCTATAGTATGCATTCTCTCCTTCCCCTCTCCCTTGGTAATTTGTAGCACAAGGACATTAATTCAAGAAATGCTGTGGTTTAGCATGTTTTCCACCCCTCACTTCATTTTGTAAATTGAGGTCTTTTTAAAAAGACAACTGCAATAATTGTGTTAGCGCCTGAAAAGCAAGGTACTTATGAACAATTGAGGGGGAAATATCTCAATTAGGACACAGCATCAGAATCTTATAACAAAAGCAACACCAAATCAGTCTCTCCCCCTGAAAACCAAGGCCATTCATTTTCAGATGGCCTCTCCAACCGAAGGTGCCGGCCAACAGTTAAACCCTGTGATAATGCCAACACTCCAGGGCCCCTCCACTGACAAAAATGTCCACCTAGTGAGCTTCTTGAGACCAGACTTTCCGGCAGAAATGGGATGCACACGTCCTGCTTAGAGGCCGCACTACAGTATGGAATTACTCTGCCTCACTGGTTAAACACTATTAAAGTGGTGTGGCCAGGAAGGCGGATTATTTAAATTGGGGAAAAAAAAAAAAAAAAGCCCCAGGCGCCTCTCCTCTCCCAGCGCCCTCTAGGTCACCTCGCATAGGTTTATCAGAAACTCCAAACCCGTCGGACAGCTGTTCCGGCGAAATTGGAACCCGGACTGCCTCTCCCCGTCGACACACACACACACGCGCGCGCGCGCACGCACATGCGCACACACACGCACACGCGGGGCGTGGAGACCCGCCGCTCCCGCTCCATCGGCGATGCTCCACTCGACGGCTCGAAGGGGACGGGGTGAGAGAGACAGTAAGAACGTCTAGTCATGGATCCGTGACACCGTGCACCCCGGCGACAGATCAGAGACACCCCAATGTCTGTGCGCGTGACCCTTCGGCCCGGGTGCGCCCAGGGCAGCGCGGGGCCGGGCCGGCTCGGGGCGCTCCCCGCGCGGGCTGCCGCCGCCCTCACCTTTCTGCCGCAGGTACTGCCTCTGGTGCCGCTGGCTCGGCCGCTCCCGCAGCTCCTGCAGCACCCGGGAGTCGCCGGCGCCGCCGCGCCCGCCCAGGACCACGTCGGAGCCCGAGGCCTCGGTGGAGCTGTCGAGGCTGTCGCTGCGCCGCTGGCGGCCCCCCGGCCCTCGGCCCCCGCCGGGCGCCTCCTCCTCCTCGGTGCAGCTGTACAGCTCGGTGAGCAGCCCGCTCACCAGGGACGCCGTGCGGCTCGTCCGGCCGCCCCGCGGCTCGCCGGGCTCCGCGTCCTCCGGGTCCTCCGCGTCCTCCTCGCCTTCCCAGGAATCCCTGGAGCCCCGCGGCAGCCCCGCCGAGGGCGTCCCCTGCGAGGACGGAGCCCGCGGCACTCTAGGAACCGCTTCCTCCACGACGTCCTCCGGCCTGGCCTCGGGCTCCGGGCTGCGGATCCGGCCCCCGCCTGCGGGAAGGACCTCCATAGCCGCAGGCGTGGCGCGGCGCCCCGCTCCCGCCGCTCCCGCCCGGCCAGTTCCGGGAGGAGGCGCGGCCCCGCCCCCGCGGGGTGCCCTCGGCCGGGCGCCACGCCAGCGGGCTCCGGATCCCCGAGGCGTCTGACTCCCCCGGGCCAGCATCCGAGTCGCCGCCCCGCGGCTCCGAGCCCGGTGGCCACGCCGCTGGACTACCTGGGGACACCTGCAGTCGGTGAGGCCCGACTTCGGCCCGAGGGGGAAGGGCGCTCTGGCCGCTGCCACCTTCACTTTTAAACACGTGATTTAACTCAAAAAGAGAGCGACTCCTGCATCCCATTCAGCCACCAGCTATAAATGCTGCCCGAGAGGGTCGTTAACGCCAATCCACAGGCAGAGGCCAGGCGCTCCCTTCTTCGCATCCTGGGGGCACGATGCCCAGCCCTTCTCACCTTCCCACCGGCTCCGGGCGCCTCTCAAGGTGTTCTTAGTTTAGCTTCTGACAATGACCTTTCGGAAGCCCTGGCATATACTTGAGATTTAATAACGCCGTGAACTTTTTCCTCCCGTGGAAAAAAAAATACTGGAGTAAGGTCAACTAATTCCCTGCCATAAGACCTAACAGAATGGGGTTTAATAAATGCCCATGAGTTGACCAAACTAATAATAAATTGATGTCGCGGATTCTGACAGTAAGCAAAGGTTTAGACGGTACCCGAGGAGATGCATGTTTACGGTAGTCCTTGATAGAAGAACTCTGAGGTACCCTCCACTGTAGATATTTTCGCAAATTTAGTAATTGTCTGCGTTTTTTAGTGCTTTTGTGTGCTGGGCACTGTTTTTTTTTTAAATGGAGCCAGGGGCACTATCTCATTTTAACCCTATAAGGCATGTAAGTACTTTTTTTTTTTTCATTGAGGTACAGTTTACATATAACATTATATTAATTCCAGGTGTACAATATAATAATTCAATATTTGTATATAGTGTGAAATAATCATAATAATAAATTAACATCCCATCATTATGCATAGTTACAAAAGAAAGTACTTTTTTTTTTTAAATCCTCACCGAGGATATTTTTCCATTTATTTTCCGATAGAGTGGAGGAGAAAGAGAGAGAGAGAGAGAAACACCAATGTGAGAGACACATGGATTGGCTGCCACCCGCACGACCGACCAGGGCCGGGGACAAACTGCAACCGAAGTACGTGCCCTTAGCGGGAACCGAACCCGGGTCTCTCCAGACCGCAGGCCGACACTCTAACCGCTGAGCCAAACCGGCCAGGGCCCTGCTATATTTCTAAAAGAAGCAACCTTGCACCTAGTGAACAATGGTGGTGCTTGACGTTTGTTCAGCACACTTTTGACTTTTCAAGGCACTTTCATAATAGCGCCTTGACTACAGGTAGAAGAAGCCTGGTACCCGCTGGCACCACCACAATGCATGTAAATATAGAGTGAGAACAATAGGACCCTTTTGGGAATTGGAGTTAATATAAGGAAAGTAGAAGTTATATAACTTTTCCTTAGGTATCCATAATTTAAAAGTATACTAGAAATATTATTTTATTATAACTATCAACTACTGCAGTATCCATTTAATATAAAAATGTATGAAATAGTAGGAATGGGGTTACTTATTATTTTGTTTTGTCTTTGAGGGCTTTTTCCCTATTGTCTCTGGCATTGAATAGAGTCCTGAGAGCCTTCCTTCATGTGCCAAACTTTGCGACAAGCAGGACTTTTATAAAGGAAACACTGAAATTGGATCTCTTTTCTTAGTTGACTTTCCAGCCCTTTCTCTCTGTCTCAGCCCAGTAAGAGATGTGATAACTGCTAGTCTTCAACACTGCTCTCATCTAGGGTATCTCTGTCAGGACCTATGGATAAAGAAACTCAAAGTGAGCTAAAGGGCAGGGTGACAAAGGCCAGGAAAAACAGCAGGTCCTTGACAGTCAACATTTCTAAATTAATCAGAACTTCAAAATTATTTCCCATTCCCCATCATTACCAAATTACCTGAAGATAGGAAGTTGGCAAAATAAGAACTAAAGAGGAAAGCAAATTGAGGGTCCTTGCACTTGTTGGAATGATCTTCCCCCCAAATGGCCACATGACTCTTCTCTCACCAGGGTCAGGTCTTTGTTTAAATATCTTCTTCTCAGTGTATTTTCCTAACCACTGTACTTGAAAACTTCGTGTTCTATCCTCCCTCCCAGTATTCCCTTATTCCCCCTCCTTGTGCTCTTTTTACCATAATACTCACCATTTCCCAACATACTATACCATCTACTGATTCATTTTGTTATCTGTCTTCTGCCAGTGTCAATCAATTTTGCCAAGAACTGCAAGGCAAACAAAAGCTTTATTTGGAGGTCTTGGAAATTGCAAATCTAGAAGTCACAGGTTTTGGTAGAAACCCAATGTGTTCTGAGGGGGAAAGAGAGTTTATAAAGACAGAAAAAAGGGAGCTTTCAAAATGATTACATAAATTACTTTGAAAGAGCTGTGACCCATGATTTATTGCTTATGTCCATTTCTAGGGGGAAATTTTATTTTTTAATAGAGAGCTTAGTGATGCAAAACTAGTTCCAGAAACTGTATCAGGATGTAGCCCTTCGGTTTAGCCCAATTCAAAAGTTCGGTTTCACCTGGAAGGAAGGAAGGACGTTAGCTCAGCTTCCCAGAGACCTCCCAGCTCTATTTTAGATTGCTCTCTTGACAACATCAACTCCATTTTGCTGTTTTTCTTTCTCATTTCCCTCTTTTGATTGAGATCTTTCCTTAGAAAGCATCTATGATCAGCCATTGGGAAATATCATTGGTCCGTCATTTGAAAAGCAGCATTGATCCCTCATCTCCAGGAATGCTTATTCCTGATATGTCATGTCCCATGTAGAAGAGAAAGTAATCTCCTGAGTGTACAGTCAGTTTATGCCCACATTTGAGCAACAAGGAGGCTTGTCAGAAGCAGAGCTAACACATTCCTTTGTGGAGGTGGTCTCAGTCAAATGTATTTATTGTAACACCTCTAGGCATTGGGCTAGTATTATTGTGGTAGTGGTGGTGGTGGTTTGATGCACCTCATCAGACACCTAATGAAGGTAGTGAACAGTATAATCACAAAAACCAATACAATTAAGTCCTGTAATGTAGAACAAACCCTATTCCTTTAGGCAGCCAGCTAATTAAGTCCGCCCAACCCTAACTTATAGGGTACTGTTCTGTCTGTTCAAGGATTTTAATATTTTGTTTTAGAACCTCAAGTTATTGTACCACTTTACCTAATTTATTAACCCAGAAAACATTCTTCTTCCAATAGGGCATAAGTACCACCTTGCTGGACAGCTATCACGTCTAGAGCCCTACAATTTTATAGTACTATTTCAGCCAGACTGTCAGTTAGTTATTACTTGTTCTTCTAGAGCAGTTGTAGTAGCGTTTAACATTTGTGCTACAAGAATAGAGAGATTTCTGATAATCTTTTCTAATTCAGCTACTCCATACCAAGAAAAGAAAGCTCTAGTGAAGGCATACCTAATGCCTAATCTATTACGGGGTATCAGGTGGAAAGAGGACCAAAAAGACCATGCCCAAAATCCCAATTCCATTTAGTCTGTTTTGGTTGAAGTTTATAGACGAAAGATCCTAGATTGAGGATAATAGCAAAGGAAGGGAGAGTCTTCCTGGTGACATTATCAGGTACTGACAATATAATACCATATCTGCCTCACTACCGAGTTAACAAGGTGATGTATATTTGCATCCCACATAAGAAAAAACACCCAGTACCTTCAAGTTAGACCGTGTAATTAGGTCCTTCAACCCAGACTTTGAGGGAAGTAGTAAGTCCTATTTCTGAAGCAGGGACTTAATATCTCTCATAGGCTGGATGATCATAGTAAGTTGTCAACTCAGAAGACATTCACGTTATCGTGAGAATGATTAAAAGAGTACCTGAGGTTTCTATATATTAGGGTCAAGATGGAAAGAGTTTGATTTTTCCAAGTTTGTAGGCCGAAATAACCTGAGACAGATTTTATCTATTTTACACCAAATACCAGATTTTTTGGTATAAGGGAGCAGGACATTTGCTCTCCAGGACTGAGAGGCATTATTCCTTGAATTTTCCAACATTAGAAAGACAGCATAAAAGTAATATTGTAATTGCTTAAGGCCCATTGAGTTGTGAACTCATTATCATTTGACTCATACAATAGTGTAGTCACGCC